CCCCGCCCCCCGCTGGGAGGTCAGAGAGTCCATCTCCTATCAGCTCCAGCTTTGTAGCCTCGGGAGCTCCCCCACCCCAGGCCCGGAAGGCCCGGGAGGGGGGAGCCCCACCCACCCCCTCCAACCCGGGCCCCGAGGGGGGCTAGCATCTAGGCCACCGGTTCTTCCTCCATCCAGGTGTCCCTCAGCCCCGGAGGCCCGCAACAGGCCACTGGAGCAGACAGGAGGAAGAATCCAGCCTCCAGGTACCTCCGAAAAGGGGCCACGCCTGTCCACAGATCATTTCTTTTAAAGCTCTCTCTTGTCCACTTCTCTCCATCCCTGGCCGGTGCATTCCGGGCTGGGAAACTTGTTCCAACCTCCCCACCACCCTCCAGTCTTCGATAGATAGGACTACTCCCCTCCTCAGTCCCGGGTCTCCCTTTCCCACTCACCATCTGGCAAAGGTGGTGCAGAGCGAACCCTTCCGCCCCTTTCCCCAAGCCCAGCTGGGTCACACCCTGCGACCTGCAAGTCTGCCCAACCCCTTCAAGCCACCACCCTTCAAGGCCTCCACCTCTTACTATCCGGGTCCAGCTCTCTGCTCCTTTCCCTTCCCAATTTGGGCTCCTTCCCCTCTCCCCCAATCGGTGCCAACATCACCGCTCTGGGGAAGAGCTGAAGCCAAAAGTGCAGGGCCCTTTGCAATGCCCCCCTTTATTTTCAGGATATTAGAGATCTAGGGACCACGCCGCCCCCCTTTCCTTCCCCTCCCCCCTTGGGGCCGAGGTTAGCTGCAGCCCTCCCATCCCAAGGCAGAGGAACTGGCCTCATGATGGGAACAGAAAATTCTGGTTCCCGCAGGTCCTCCCAAGTTCATTCACTGGCCAGACCCGGGAAGCGGCGGCTGCGGAGCAGGGAGCGGAGCGGGTGGGGGGAGGAGCCGGCGGCCGCGGCTCGGGGTGGGGGCTCAAGGAACAGGTTGTGTGGGAGCGAGGCAAGGGGGCGCTGGCCGGGGAAGAGTGGCCAGGTGGGCGGTGTGCTGGGCGGCTGGCGAGGTGGGTGCCTGCCTGACCTGCCAGGGATGGGCTGTTGAGTTTAGGGTCCCCCACAAGGTCTTGCACCCTCAAGGGGACGGACAGCCTAAACGTGGCTGACTGGTCTCCACTTCCCTGCTGCCAGGTTCCCCGCTGTGCCCCCAGCCTTGTGCCCTGTGGGGTGTGTGTCTGTCCACGCACACTGTGGGTGTGAGGCGCCCCCCTCACCTGGTTCTGGCTGCAGGAATCTGGGAAGTGGCGGTGGGC